CTGGTCAGAGACCATACATTGGTAAGGTGTCCGTAGTCCGTTCGTCTGTCTGTCTGTAAACAATTTTTCAAAACGCTATTCCTTGTACAGTTTTAGTCCAATTTCTGTAAGTCTTGGTACACAAGTAGTCTGTACTAAGATACATAATTCTGTATATTTGTTTTTGATTTCGACAAACAGTGTTGTCATGGTGACTAAAAATGGACATTTCTATGAAATTCTTTTAAAATGTTACTCTTCCTACGGTTTTTGTCCATTTTCAATAAGATTTAGTACACAAGTAGACTTTATCAAGATAAGTATTTCTGATTATCTTTTTTGTTTATTTTGGCAATCGGTGTTGTCATGGTTACTAAAAATAGAAATTTCTTTGAAATTCTTTCAAAGTGCTATTCCTCCTACAGTCTTGGTTCAATTTCAATAAGACCTGGTACACAAGTAGACTTTACTAACATACATAATTCTTTTTAATAATTTCGACAAATGGTGTGGTCATGGTTACTAAAAATAGTAATTTCTTCAAATTCTTTTATAACATTTTTGATCCATTTTCAATAAGACTTGGTACACAACTAGACTAAGATGCATAATTCTATATATCGATTTTCAATTTTACATATTCAATATTTCAATAAGTCTTGGTACACAAGTAGACTATATTAACATTCTTAATTCTGTGTATCGGTTTTTGATTTTGACCTACAGTGTTGCCATGGTTACAAATAATAGAAACTTGAAATTCTTTCAAAACGCTATTCCTCGTACAGTTTTGGTCCAAATCCAGTAAAACAGTACACATGTAGATTATACTAAGTACCAGTAGAGCTACGGTCTCTTCAGAGACTTCATTTTTTTTTTGAATTATGAAAATAAAATAAAAAAGAAGAAATTTCTACCTGATTCTTTTTGACCTGATTTATAAGATATTTATATTATACATATAAGTATAAGCATAAGTTTAAGCCTCAAACTGTCTTACTAGTATTTGAAACCAAAACTTTTCTCTCTTCTCTGGGGAAAAATACAAAGAAAATCATATAAAGTAAGTTACAGCTGATACTGTTTTTTAATGCCGAAATTATACGTCATAAGAATAATATTATTTTAAACATCCATGAAAAAATATTTAGTGAGGTATTCTCCTTAAGTGTTCAGTGAAAGCATCCTGAGGTAGTGTAGATTCAAGTTTCTTTGAATCAGGACATGGGTATTTTGGGACCACAATTGGCAATTAAAAGTTTTACATTAAAATCTTCTTCTCAAGAACAGCAAAGCCATGATGATATAGACATATTTATATGGAAGCATCCTCAAGTAGTGTAGATGAAAGTTTGTTCAAATTATGATCCGGGAGGGGGGGGGGCACAACACAATCAAATTATGCATAGGAATTTTGAAGATTAAAAAAAATCTTCTGAAGAAGAATCAGCAAATCCATGATAAATAATATTTATATGGAAGCATCTTCAGGTAGTTAAGATTCAAGTTTTTTTTAAATCTCAAATCATGAGCACCAGGGGAAGTTTGCAGACACAATGGGAATTAAAGCTTTACATAGGAATATATAAGATAATCTTAATTTTAAAAATCTTCTCCAGAACAGTGATATTTATATGGAACATTCTTGAATCACATATTCAAGTATGTTAAAATCATAACACACAGGGGTAGGGCAATCAAATCTTTACTTAGAAATATATAAGAAAAATTTCTAAAGGACAGCAAAGCCTTGATTTGTAATAGTTATATAGAAACATCCTCAAGTAGTAGATATTAAAGTTTATTCAAAGTATAACTTTAGGTGTGAGGTTGGGCCACAATATGTGATCAAAGTTTTACAAAGGAATGACTGGGAGAAAATTTGCTGAAGAAGAGCAGCAGAGCTTGTGTACTAAATCTTATTGAAAATGGACAAAAACTGTAGGAAGAGTAACATTTTAAAAGAATTTCGGAGCATAACAAAGATCTGATTTTAATCAGATTGCAGGGCCATAGTGACTCAGGTGAGTGCTGTAGCCCATGGACCTCTTGTTATTTTAAATATCTTGATTTTTAACAAAAGCATTATTAAAGATGCAGGTTTGTTTTTTTCAAATACAAACATAGTAAAAATTTTAAAATCAACCTACTGAGTAAAAGTTTTATCAAATGGAATCTTTTCTCTGTTAAAGGTCTTGAGACCAGATTTTGTAAATTCCAACATCAATGCACTTTAATACTCTCTCAGATGGCTGCAATAAAAAATACTCAGATTTTCATGTTATTGTTTATTTGACATCACATTTGAAGATTCACACAGATATCAGATTTGTTACGTATATAGTTCAAAGTCATTGGACTTAATTCTTTTTATTAAATAGCTTAGCAAACCAGAGAGATAAAGAAAGACTGTTTTCCATAGTGTTTACCTGATTCATAGAATTATGAAGTAGATTTAAGATTTGATTAAGCTTCCAATGTCATTTCACTATAAAATTTTCCAAGATGGATACAATGAAAAGGTTACTCAAATTTAAATGTGATTGCTTATATGATTTACTTTGTAAAGTTTCACTGTCATTTCACTGCAATACTCTCAAAACAGCTGCAATAAAAAGTACTCAGATTCACATTTGGTGGTGGTGGTGGGGGGGGGGGGGTTATTTCACATCACATTCTGCATATGTACATGTTACCGGTAGTCCTCACTGCACTTCACTAGGGGAGTAATCAAAAAACAACAACAACAGTATATGCATTGTAGCGCATTGTAAGAGGACGCTAGGATTTATTTATAACAGCAAACAGACCAGTACTATTATAGTAAAATGTAAACCCAACTATGCTTCCCTCGCCGCCCAGGAAAAACCATAGATAAAAAATTTGTGTGTAAAAAACTATGGAAACCTGTAAGTCCGCAGCAATTGCGAGGTAAACAAAATGAATGGCGGACTCATTCTTACAAACCTATGTATAATATGTAAATTAAAAAAAAAACCAAAAAGTCTACAAAACCTGTGTCTGTTGCCAAGTGCCGCTGGTTACAAAAAACGTTGTGACAGACCTCACAACGTACATCTAAACCTAACGAAAACACATTTTGCATATATCTACATATTATAAAAACCTTAATTGATGTTGCTCGCATAAGTCGGCGGCAAGAATGACAACTTATAAAACCAGTTCCCTACTACACATCAAAATTCTATCGGTCAATTTCTTACAAATACATGCTACATGTATATGAACATCTTGTCATTTTCCAGCTATACTATCATAGAGCAGGGAAATACCTTTTTTTCCCTTCAAAACATCAATGAAAGATAGGAAGGACCACAATTTGGAAAATGCAAGGCATTGGGTGAAAATCACACTTTTTCCTCTAAAGGTAACAGATCCTTAATAAAGGGCACGGATCCTTAATACTAGTTCCTAGATCCTCAACACAAGTTCACAGATACTCAACATAAGTCCCAACACAAGTTCACAGATAATCAACATAAGTCCACAGATCCTCAACATAAGTACACAGATCTTACCATGAAGTCACAGATCCTCAACACAAGTTCTCAGATCCTTCACACAAGGTCACAGTTCCTCAATACAAAAGTTCGCAGATCCTTCACACAAGGTCACAGTTCCTCAACACAAGGTCATGGATCCTTCACACAAGTCACAGCTCCTCAACACAAGGTCACAGATAACAGAATCACAGATCCTTAACACAAGATCAAGAATCCTTCACACAAGGTCAAGATATAGTTATATATCTCCCTCTGTAATAAATGTCTCTCCTTACATTTCTGTTGCTCCATGACATGACATGAATTTTTCTGATGTGTTGCATTGCCTTCTTTGTTCCACAAACATGATGACCGATCAGATGAGTCATTTTGAAGTGTTCTATCAAAAAAAGTATGTAAAAAAGTCCATGTACGTATTTTTAAAGCATAATGTTTTAAAGCATGAAAATGCACTTGTATGACCCTTTCACATGTCCGATCAATGTATAATTAAAGATTTAGATATTAGTGAAAAAATTCAATCAAATGAAAAAGGGCGTTAAAAATAGCTTGGAGTGATTTATTATTTGTCTCACTACAGGAGAGAGTTTGTTAAAATCAAAAAGTACATGAGAGGATTTCGATCATTTATAAATTCCTAAATGAGGAGGATCATACAAATATTAACTTGTCTGGCATGGATAAACAGGATTTCTTGAAACTGCAATACGTACTGTACAAAATACACTGACACTGATGTTTCATCATCCAGCAGCTAAGATACTAACGTTTAAATGAGGTTTTGACTTTCACTTTCTTAAAGATTTATTTTTTTACACACAGAGTCATAATTCAAAAGGTTAAATTCTGTATTTAAAAAGGTTAAATTCTGTACTTAAAAAGGGGCAATAATGCAGTGTTATTCTTGAGAGTAAATTTTTTCCTCTATGTTTTCTCCTACATTTCTATGTAAGCCCTCTGACCTCATCAGAGCAAGAATGAAACAATTCCAAAACCTTCACCTTTCCAAAACTATCATAGCTAAGAGTAAAGTTTCAAAGTTTCATCCACCAAGCTGTCACAAGAATAATGGGACTAAATCATATTAACATTTCCAAAATTTTAATAAATTCTACAAAAATCGGAGAAAAAAACTGTACTCATTATAAAAAATAATAACTGAGGTATAAACAGACAATGGAATTATATCTCACACTAGGATCAAAGCTTGCCTAACCATTCTTCTATTTACACAAAGAGTTAGGGTGTAAAATGAAGAAATCATTAAACTTACCATTATCTCCATGGTTGGCTGCAGTCTATCCTTGCTCTCAGCACTCTCACTGACAATTGTGTTATCCTCACAGTAGGATTGAGACTTGCTTACCCAGCCATTCTCTTAATAACACAAAAAGTCAGAATGTTAAAGAAGTGAAGTACAGACAGCTGCTATTATCAAGTTAAAATAAAAACCAGGGATCTTAAAATGCAACAATGCAGTTTTTTTCTTACCGACTTTGCCAATGTTGGCCCCAGGTCAAAGCTGGGCAATGGACTCCTTTTCTTCTTTTCTTCTGTCAAGCGGCCTTCGTCCTCTTCAAGGGTCCTGCTACTCCTCTTCTTGGGTCCTGAAACTCCTCTTCTTCTGTTGGCAGACCTTGGTCCTTCTTCTTGTATTCATGGATCCAGCTGCTCCTTTTCTTCTCTGATCCAACCTTAGTCCTCCTCTTCATGGGTCCTGCTGCTCATCTTCTTCTGTCTTTTGGCCTTGGTTCTCCTTTTCATGGGTCCTGCTGCTCTGCATCCTTTCAATTACAAAACAACAGGTGCAATCCTGATTCAGACAAATTCAACTAAAAACCAGATAAGGGAATGTGTGCAAGAAGGAGAGCAAAAATCTTACCTCATCTTTAGTGGTAGCTGCACTTGAATGGGAGACAAACTCCTCCTCACTATAGGTTCCAGGTCAGCGTAAACATCCTTCTGCTAACAAAGCAAAACAAAGACATCAAAGAAACATGAAGACTTTATATAAAGTGAGAAAGAGGCATAAAAAATTTACAGAGTCCCAAGAGCATGTCCAGTTCTAATCTTACCTTAACTTGGGGAGTTGGCTGCAGTCGATTCTTCCCTTGCAGCTTCTTCTTCTGCATGAGAATTTCTTCTTGACCTCTTGATCCCTAACAGCCCAACCTTCTAACTGTTGACAGAAACAGTCAAATTGTCAATAAATTGCAAAGATTTAATAAACACAGAGATCATTACTGATAGTGGACAGAGTGCAAGATGTGCATTTCATCTTACCCGCATGTCTGAGATTGACTGCATTTCGTCACTGAACGCCCGCTTGGGTGACAGTCTACTCTTCTTCGGCAGAACGAGGCCAGTCTAACCCTGTACCTCTTAACAAAGATGTCTACATGTCAAAGCAAAAGCAATATTTCCTCAACACAGAGAGAGTAAGGAAGTCAACAGAGTGCAATATACAAATTGCATAATTTACTATCAATGCTTAGGCTAGCTCCGGTCCATCGCTGAACTCTTTGCACTCCTTCCGAAAGGCCACAGTCTGCTCTTCGTCTTGGATCAATACCAGTCTAACCCTGACCAGTAAACATTTTGAGGAGTGACAGAAGTGTGCCAGACTAGTGAAGTTAATGAAGTTAATTGAAATAAAGTTGATAGAGTGCAACATGTGCACATTGTATCTTATCGTCTTTACTTGGCTACAGTTGACCTTTGAACTCAGAGCACTCTTGCTTTTAAGAGACAGTCTCCCCTTCAAAGCTGGAGATAGAGGATTGTTCCATACCGAATCTCTGTGGAAAAAAGACAGAAGTTCAATCGTCATCAAGTGAGAATGATAACAATTTTACACAGTATAGGTGTTAAAACTTAAATCTTACCCTCTCGTTACTGAAAGACAGTAGTGAAGCAGCTTCGAACTTGAATTTTTCACCAATGTTGGCCGCCAAACATAGCTGGGCAATGTAATACTCTTCTTCTCTTGGTTGACCTGGGTCCTCCATCGAAGTCACTAGTCGGAGGCCCTGAAAATATACAACTGAAAGAAGGTTAGTAAAAATCAAAATAATAAAACAAAACACAGAAATTCACGCGCACAAAATCATTACATGAAAATTAAATAAAAAATAAGTTAGCAAATGAAGACAATTAGGTCAGGAAAGGTCAAACAGGGAGAGGGAAGGGGGAGGGAGGAAGGTGGATGGTTAGTTATGTTAGAGTAGGGAGGGGATAAGAGACAGAAAGAAATAGATGAAAAAGCTTCTCTATTAGGCTTCCTGGTCGCGGAATAGGATCCTTGCGCTGTTCATCTGATGGGCCCTCTCGGTCTGCATCCTGTCAATTGGAAATCAATAGGTCAAGGCCTGCTATGGTCAACAACTATTGGCATGCTCATGAAAGGGTGCATCAAATAGAGTCTAATTCTTACCGCATCTTCAGGTGGTGACTGCAGTTGAATGGGATCTCCTAGCTTAGGCATCTGGGTCAGCCTAAACATCTTTCTGTTAAAAATTAAACCAAAACAAGACATCAAAGAAACATGAAGACTATATATCAAGTGAGATAGAGTCATTCAAATTCACAGAGTTCAAAGAGCAAGTGCAATTCCTATCTTATCCTAACTTGGGGTTCTAATGGAAATCAGGAAATTCAAAGTGCAACAATTGCAGTTTCTTACTTACCGCTTTCCTAAATGTTAACAGCCGGACATTGCTGGGAAATGGACTCCTTCTTCTCTTGGCCGGCCTGGCTCCTCCCGCATCGTCTCTCGTCGGAAGCCCTGAAAATATACAACTGAAAGAAGGTTAGTAAAAATCAAAATAATAAAACAAAACACAGAAATTCACGCGCACAAAATCATTACATGAAAATTAAATAAAAAATAAGTTAGCAAATGAAGACAATTAGGTCAGGAAAGGTCAAACAGGGAGAGGGAAGGGGGAGGGAGGAAGGTGGATGGTTAGTTATGTTAGAGTAGGGAGGGGATAAGAGACAGAAAGAAATAGATGAAAAAGCTTCTCTATTAGGCTTCCTGGTCGCGGAATAGGATCCTTGCGCTGTTCATCTGATGGGCCCTCTCGGTCTGCATCCTGTCAATTGGAAATCAATAGGTCAAGGCCTGCTATGGTCAACAACTATTGGCATGCTCATGAAAGGGTGCATCAAATAGAGTCTAATTCTTACCGCATCTTCAGGTGGTGACTGCAGTTGAATGGGATCTCCTAGCTTAGGCATCTGGGTCAGCCTAAACATCTTTCTGTTAAAAATTAAACCAAAACAAGACATCAAAGAAACATGAAGACTATATATCAAGTGAGATAGAGTCATTCAAATTCACAGAGTTCAAAGAGCAAGTGCAATTCCTATCTTATCCTAACTTGGGGTTCTAATGGAAATCAGGAAATTCAAAGTGCAACAATTGCAGTTTCTTACTTACCGCTTTCCTAAATGTTAACAGCCGGACATTGCTGGGAAATGGACTCCTTCTTCTCTTGGCCGGCCTGGCTCCTCCCGCATCGTCTCTCGTCGGAAGCCCTGAAAATATACAACTGAAAGAAGGTTAGTAAAAATCAAAATAATAAAACAAAACACAGAAATTCACGCGCACAAAATCATTACATGAAAATTAAATAAAAAATAAGTTAGCAAATGAAGACAATTAGGTCAGGAAAGGTCAAACAGGGAGAGGGAAGGGGGAGGGAGGAAGGTGGATGGTTAGTTATGTTAGAGTAGGGAGGGGATAAGAGACAGAAAGAAATAGATGAAAAAGCTTCTCTATTAGGCTTCCTGGTCGCGGAATAGGATCCTTGCGCTGTTCATCTGATGGGCCCTCTCGGTCTGCATCCTGTCAATTGGAAATCAATAGGTCAAGGCCTGCTATGGTCAACAACTATTGGCATGCTCATGAAAGGGTGCATCAAATAGAGTCTAATTCTTACCGCATCTTCAGGTGGTGACTGCAGTTGAATGGGATCTCCTAGCTTAGGCATCTGGGTCAGCCTAAACATCTTTCTGTTAAAAATTAAACCAAAACAAGACATCAAAGAAACATGAAGACTATATATCAAGTGAGATAGAGTCATTCAAATTCACAGAGTTCAAAGAGCAAGTGCAATTCCTATCTTATCCTAACTTGGGGTTCTAATGGAAATCAGGAAATTCAAAGTGCAACAATTGCAGTTTCTTACTTACCGCTTTCCTAAATGTTAACAGCCGGACATTGCTGGGAAATGGACTCCTTCTTCTCTTGGCCGGCCTGGCTCCTCCCGCATCGTCTCTCGTCGGAAGCCCTGAAAATATACAACTGAAAGAAGGTTAGTAAAAATCAAAATAATAAAACAAAACACAGAAATTCACGCGCACAAAATCATTACATGAAAATTAAATAAAAAATAAGTTAGCAAATGAAGACAATTAGGTCAGGAAAGGTCAAACAGGGAGAGGGAAGGGGGAGGGAGGAAGGTGGATGGTTAGTTATGTTAGAGTAGGGAGGGGATAAGAGACAGAAAGAAATAGATGAAAAAGCTTCTCTAGTAGGCTTCCTGGTCGCGGAATAGGATCCTTGCGCTGTTCATCTGATGGGCCCTCTCGGTCTGCATCCTGTCAATTGGAAATCAATAGGTCAAGGCCTGCTATGGTCAACAACTATTGGCATGCTCATGAAAGGGTGCATCAAATAGAGTCTAATTCTTACCGCATCTTCAGGTGGTGACTGCAGTTGAATGGGATCTCCTAGCTTAGGCATCTGGGTCAGCCTAAACATCTTTCTGTTAAAAATTAAACCAAAACAAGACATCAAAGAAACATGAAGACTATATATCAAGTGAGATAGAGTCATTCAAATTCACAGAGTTCAAAGAGCAAGTGCAATTCCTATCTTATCCTAACTTGGGGTTCTAATGGAAATCAGGAAATTCAAAGTGCAACAATTGCAGTTTCTTACTTACCGCTTTCCTAAATGTTAACAGCCGGACATTGCTGGGAAATGGACTCCTTCTTCTCTTGGCCGGCCTGGCTCCTCCCGCATCGTCTCTCGTCGGAAGCCCTGAAAATATACAACTGAAAGAAGGTTAGTAAAAATCAAAATAATAAAACAAAACACAGAAATTCACGCGCACAAAATCATTACATGAAAATTAAATAAAAAATAAGTTAGCAAATGAAGACAATTAGGTCAGGAAAGGTCAAACAGGGAGAGGGAAGGGGGAGGGAGGAAGGTGGATGGTTAGTTATGTTAGAGTAGGGAGGGGATAAGAGACAGAAAGAAATAGATGAAAAAGCTTCTCTAGTAGGCTTCCTGGTCGCGGAATAGGATCCTTGCGCTGTTCATCTGATGGGCCCTCTCGGTCTGCATCCTGTCAATTGGAAATCAATAGGTCAAGGCCTGCTATGGTCAACAACTATTGGCATGCTCATGAAAGGGTGCATCAAATAGAGTCTAATTCTTACCGCATCTTCAGGTGGTGACTGCAGTTGAATGGGATCTCCTAGCTTAGGCATCTGGGTCAGCCTAAACATCTTTCTGTTAAAAATTAAACCAAAACAAGACATCAAAGAAACATGAAGACTATATATCAAGTGAGATAGAGTCATTCAAATTCACAGAGTTCAAAGAGCAAGTGCAATTCCTATCTTATCCTAACTTGGGGTTCTAATGGAAATCAGGAAATTCAAAGTGCAACAATTGCAGTTTCTTACTTACCGCTTTCCTAAATGTTAACAGCCGGACATTGCTGGGAAATGGACTCCTTCTTCTCTTGGCCGGCCTGGCTCCTCCCGCATCGTCTCTCGTCGGAAGCCCTGAAAATATACAACTGAAAGAAGGTTAGTAAAAATCAAAATAATAAAACAAAACACAGAAATTCACGCGCACAAAATCATTACATGAAAATTAAATAAAAAATAAGTTAGCAAATGAAGACAATTAGGTCAGGAAAGGTCAAACAGGGAGAGGGAAGGGGGAGGGAGGAAGGTGGATGGTTAGTTATGTTAGAGTAGGGAGGGGATAAGAGACAGAAAGAAATAGATGAAAAAGCTTCTCTAGTAGGCTTCCTGGTCGCGGAATAGGATCCTTGCGCTGTTCATCTGATGGGCCCTCTCGGTCTGCATCCTGTCAATTGGAAATCAATAGGTCAAGGCCTGCTATGGTCAACAACTATTGGCATGCTCATGAAAGGGTGCATCAAATAGAGTCTAATTCTTACCGCATCTTCAGGTGGTGACTGCAGTTGAATGGGATCTCCTAGCTTAGGCATCTGGGTCAGCCTAAACATCTTTCTGTTAAAAATTAAACCAAAACAAGACATCAAAGAAACATGAAGACTATATATCAAGTGAGATAGAGTCATTCAAATTCACAGAGTTCAAAGAGCAAGTGCAATTCCTATCTTATCCTAACTTGGGGTTCTAATGGAAATCAGGAAATTCAAAGTGCAACAATTGCAGTTTCTTACTTACCGCTTTCCTAAATGTTAACAGCCGGACATTGCTGGGAAATGGACTCCTTCTTCTCTTGGCCGGCCTGGCTCCTCCCGCATCGTCTCTCGTCGGAAGCCCTGAAAATATACAACTGAAAGAAGGTTAGTAAAAATCAAAATAATAAAACAAAACACAGAAATTCACGCGCACAAAATCATTACATGAAAATTAAATAAAAAATAAGTTAGCAAATGAAGACAATTAGGTCAGGAAAGGTCAAACAGGGAGAGGGAAGGGGGAGGGAGGAAGGTGGATGGTTAGTTATGTTAGAGTAGGGAGGGGATAAGAGACAGAAAGAAATAGATGAAAAAGCTTCTCTAGTAGGCTTCCTGGTCGCGGAATAGGATCCTTGCGCTGTTCATCTGATGGGCCCTCTCGGTCTGCATCCTGTCAATTGGAAATCAATAGGTCAAGGCCTGCTATGGTCAACAACTATTGGCATGCTCATGAAAGGGTGCATCAAATAGAGTCTAATTCTTACCGCATCTTCAGGTGGTGACTGTAGTTGAAAATGGATCTCCTAGCTTA